ATGTGGAGCATGATTTATGCAGCAATTAATAACATGTAGTCAAGTATTTGCACGTAGGAAAAACAAATACAGTATTTAAATAATAGAAAGACAGTTACAGGAAAATGAAAACAAAGAGACACGTCAGTTTCAAGGATAAAGAATCATAAACGCTTAGAAGAAAACGGACAATCTAAATTCAAATAAGGGGACATGGGTACGGGATAAAGCATGCTTGGACTAATTCATAAAAATAAGTTCGTTGTGGTACGAGCCTAAAGGCATCCCCAGCAGAGTCGCCATGCTGTTGCGCCCCTTTTTTTCCTCCCCTTTTTACGGGGGAAGAAAGGTTCGAGTTTCGACATTTATGGGGGTAATGACTCATTTCCCTTTGGGGATTGGGTATTTTGAAGAGTCGCCACCTAACGGATTATGGTGCGTTGGGGCACCTAGAGCGATTAACTCTTGGTTTGATTTGCATTACCAGAGATTTAGGGTAAGGGCTCGAAATAACCTTGAGGGGAAGGTGTTAGGCACCCCCTTGGTCCACAACTATGTGTCCCGGCCGAACTTATACTTGTAAATTAGTCCTTCAAAGAATAAGTAATTGAAACATATAATTGCAAATATAGCATGTTGGATATTGTATGACTCAGATAATAAGACAAAGGGGTTTCGAACAAGTTATATAGAAAAGTAAAGTTTTAGGCAAAGGGATTTAGGGAAGGAGGGGTCCTAGGTTGGTTAGCCTACAGGATCACCCCACGCAATGCCTCCTAAATGAGGGGCTACATGAGACATTAGCGCGTAGTCATCATATCTCGTTCTACCAAAGTCCCTCCCCTTGGTCATAGCCTAAAGCTTTCTAATTACCTTGACAATGTCCTATGCGTGCACTACCTATCCATTCCTTGTGGTCCTGGAGGTATTTTAGGACCTCTAAATCTAGGCAGTTCTAGACAACCCCTAAGGTGTTTAAAAGGAGAAAATTCCAGGCGACAAGTGAGAACACGTACGACTCAACATATAAAGGCAGGAAAGAAGCAGTTAAGAGGCCCAGGTTTAACTCCACAAATAATGCACAGGAGCTGCACGTCTCAAACACAAACAAAAGGCATTTTATTAGACAGGATCCTAGGGCATGATGTCTAAGTGAATGCCAAAACACAGTAGAGATGCAGCTTTGTTTTACAAACTCAGAAGTAGGGTCCCTAATCAATTTGCCTACTGATTTAAAGGTTCTAAGTTGTTAAGCAGTGAACACAAATGAGAACAGTTTCCAGTTTATAAGGGTTGGTTACCTAAGGCTTTCCTAGGGGTGGGATTATGCGCAATAGTTACAGAGTCATTAGAAGTTCAGAAGTCAGTTTTGCCTAAGAGCATGTTGCTCTAGATGTTACAAAATACAAGGATTATTACCAGTTATATTCAAAATAGGATAATCAAATGTGAGACTATTTTTACGTCTTTCATAATCAGTAGTTTACACTAGGTGTGAGTGAGCAAGTACGAGCGAGATCCTAAAGCATGGTATCTAGTATGCACATAGAAATGCAGAATGATTTCAGGATTTGTAGAATTCCTAAAACATGATTTATAGATGCTCGGAAAGTTACAGCATGATTCAGGATGTGCAGGAGCAACAGTTTTGTCTTAATGCTATTATTTAGCCTAAAGCAGGATTTCTAAGTGATAAAAATAACGTCAAATGAGATGCTGAAACAGTAAACCTAAGAACATGATATCTAATGCATGACATGCTTGGAATGTATTGGTCCTAGACATGGATCCTAATTCACATATGGGAAATGTAAACCTAAGGCATGGTTACTACCCATTGATATTGATAACATATATGACTACCCTCCCCTTTTCACTAGCCAACCCCAATATTCGTTTACAACAAATTATTACAGGCCAATATCGAATGAATTACATAAGTGGATAAGAAAAATAAGAAGTTACTCTATAGGGAGCCTGAAAGTAGGCCCAGAACCTCAGAGTTTCCAATGCCAGATTGCCTCACAGCCTTTCACATAATCCGGGTGTGTCAGAGTTCCCTAAGGACCTCAAGGGTTCCCGGGTAGTGCTCACACCCAGATTTCATAATCATAGTTGAGTAAATGCAGTGTGGAAGGGCAGCTCTAATGCATCAGAGATCAGAGGGATCTCATAGGGATCCCTAAGCAGTCACACATTAGACGGGCAGAACTTAAAACCTAAGAGTAGATGTGAAAGTGCTTGAAAAGATTTAAGCAAGAAAACAGTTTGAAAAGAGACTTGTTTAAAATAGTTTTGTAAAAACAACAGAGATAGTTTTGAAAAGAGAGTAGAGTAATAAGCAACAGTCCAAACACAGCACCCAAAGCAGGTTCATACAATATCAAGGCACATAGAACCAAGGCAGGTTCAGCAACCACACACAAGGGTAATGGGATTTGGGGACACATAGGTCACATAGGTAAACACATAGTTACAGGAGCACTTAAGTACATAATCAGCAACATGCTAAAGGGTTAAGGCACTTAAGAATTAATACAGAATCAGTTTACTTAAGGATAGCCAACTGCTTTACACAGAAACATTAGTAAGGAAGAGTCACATTGGGGTATACTAGGAGGGGGATAACATTTCATAAACATACTGAGTCTAAGGTAGGGGACACATTCAGCAGCATGCTGATGAAGTGATGAAGTAAACATATTAGTTGCAAGTTGAACAACAAAACCATAAATGAAAATAGACTAGAAAGAAGATGAATTGAAGTAATAAAAGAAACATGTTGTTTTTGACACTTTGAATTGAAGTCAGGACATACCAGTAAAGAGACAGTAGGCACAAAGTGAAGAATAAGAGAGCACAATGATTAGCCTTGGCTCGCAGCCGGCTAACTTAGAACAGTAGTAAGTAACACAGAGAGAGAGTAGAAAGTTTTGAGTGTGAGAGAGAGAGAGCTTTTGAATCAATGTGTTCGTTTGTTTGTGTTAATGAGAGAGTATGTATACATAGTTTGAAACTAGGTAAAATAATACGGTAAGAATCAAAGTCAAGCAATAATTATGGAACTAGGTATCAATTAGTATAAAATTAGTATAAGTACTCCCTTAATTAAGGAGTTAACTTCAAACGGTAAAGACAAATAAGGAAGGCGATAATATGAGACTGGAATATAACACATAAGGTAATCATTTCAGCATAGTGCAAGTATAATTAGGCTAGGTTCAGAAAATCTAATTAAGGAAAGTACTTAAGAATCGATTGACAGCATACTCGACAAAAAATAAGCAAAAAAATGTCTTAGAGGTTGAAAATCAGTAAGGAAATCATCACAAGAGATCAGTGAAAGGTATCAATTACAGGAAATTAGGGATTCGAATAGGAGTAGTAATGATTTAAGGAATGAACACAAATTGTTGTAAAATACACGAAATAATCACAGCATAGGCAAGAAGGAATAAAATCAGAAACCCTATTAAGCATAGTAAAGTAAAAATCACATAAGTCAGGAATCCAACTAGAAAAAATAGTATTAATTAGAGGAATTAACACAACTTTATGTCAATAAACAGAATAAACATGGTATAGGCGGAAGAAGCAAAATCAGAAACCCTAATGAGCGTAATAGGGTAAAAATCATAGACATGTAGAACATATTCATGAATAACAGACATGCGAACAAATTAAACGAACAAATAAGCAAGGACAGTTCTCAGAACCCAGGATTAAGACCAAGAATTAGGGTTCTCAACATAATGAATCAGGTAAAAGGAAAACTTGAATAAACCGTTTAAACATAGTAAAGATCATAGATTAAATACCAAAATTAGAAGAAAAAGCATTTTAAAAAAGGGGTTACGAAACCCTAGTTTTGAAGACGAAGAGGTGTTTTTGAAAAATCGTAGAGATTATCATGGAAAACAACAAGAATAACTCAAAATATACTCAAATCTATGGTAGATCTGAAGAGTCAAGAGACGAGTTAGGGTTTCAGAAAGAGATAACCCAGAGATAAAGATATTCCGGCTTAGAAGCCACGGATCTAGCCGGAAAATATAAAGATCTTACTTGGACGGCCAAGGGTGGCCTGAGAACGGCATGAAAAGGCCATGGGTGTGAGTTGAACAGCCTCTGGTCCCCTTGAGGACCTCAAGGTAGCAAGGATCTGGCATTGAGGGAGCCATGGAGGCTAGGGGTGGTGGTGGAACCACCATTGATACTGGCGAGCCAACAGTCGGCGAGTAGGAACCTAGGTTTAGCAGAGAGAGTCTTGAGAGAGATGAGAGGTGTAACGGCGGAGAGTGATGAGAGAATGAGGGTTTGGGGGGTAGACTTTAGGGTTAATTATGGTAAGAGGGGATCCGGACCGTTGATTAGAATTGATCAACGGTCCAGATTGGACCAGGGATTGGGTCGGGTAGTTTGATGGATTGGGCCTGGGGTTTGGGCTCTTTTAATTAGGTTTGGGGCTGGTTCAATTTAGGCTAGAATTGAAATAAAATTGGCTATTTGTTAAATACCCAATTAAATTAATTAAAATAATTTGTAAAAATAGCTAATAATCACAAAAATGAATTTCATGCATGGAAAATAAAAATGATTAATTAGTATTTCAAAAATACAAATGACTAAGTCTTGGTAAAAATAGTACAAAATTATATGCTTGCGCTATAATTGCAATGTTATTGCAGTTGTAGCCAAACGATGCCAATTCGGCTTATTATGAAATAATTTGGTTTAACTAGGACCATAAATAATAAATTAAATCAAGAAATGCTTTTGAAATCACTTGTGATGCAATTCTGTACTAATTTATTGGAAATAAAATGCTGGGTAAATTAATAAAATATGGAAAACTTATGGAAAAATACCAATTGCTATTATGCATGATTTTGAAGGTATATATGCAATTTTAATAATATTTTGGGGAAAAATTGGGTATCAACAACCCCCCCCCCCCCCCGCGTAGTGTGGAATAAATGGCGGCACTTGGATTTCAAGTCTTCTTCAGCTTCCCAGGTCATTTATTCTTCATTTTTGTTCCTCCAAAGTACTTTAACTGAAGCACTTTCTTTGATTTGCAGATTACGCGCTTGACGATCTAGGATAGCCACCAAAACTTCTTTGTAGGATAGGTCCTCCATGGCTTGAATATCTTCAATAGGGGTAATATAAGACGGATCACTCAAGCACTTTCGAAGCATAGATGTGCGGAATACGGGATGCACTGCTTCCAACTCCGGGGGCAACTCAAGCTTAGAAGCCACTTGACTGACTTTCTGAATAATTTTATATGGCCCAATATACCTGAGACTGAGTTTACCCTTCTTACCGAACCTCATCAGGTTTTTCATTGGCGACACCCTTAGGAATACCCATTCTCTCATGGCAAACTCCTAATCTCATCGTCGGGTATCTGAGTAAGACTTTTGCCTGCTTTGAGCGGTCAATAACTGACTTTGAGTCATTTTCACCTTCTCTACAGCATATTGCACCAACTTGTGACCCAATAACTTTGTTTCACCAACTTCGAACCAGCCGATAGGAGATCTGCACTTTTGCCTGTACAGGGCCTCATACGACGCCATTCGAATACTAGCATGGTAGTTGTGGTTGTAGGAAAACTCGATGAGTGGTAGATGATCTTCCCAATTTCCTTTAAAGTCTAAAACATAGGCTCGTAACATGTCCTCAAGTGTCTGAATGGTGCGTTCGACCTGTCCATCTGTTTGTTGATGAAAAATAGTACTGAGGTTGATTTTGGTACCCAGTCCTCTTTGGAATGATCTCCAGAAGTTCAGGTATAAACTGGGCACCTCTGTTTGATATGATGGAAACTAGAACCCGATGAAGTCGAACTATTTCCTTAACGTATAACTTGGCATATTCGTCTGCTGAGAAGGTAGTCTTAACTAGTAGGAAATGAGCTGACTTGGTGAGTCGATCTACGATAACCCATATGGAATTAGATCTTCGGTGTGATCGTGGTAACCCTATAACAAAATCCATGTTGATAATCTCCTATTTCTAGGTCGGAATTTCCATATTCTGAAGCAATCCTCCAGGATTCTGGTGATGAGCCCTAACTTGTTGGCAATTTGGACACTGAGCGATGTATTCATCAATGTTCCTCTTCATGTCGTTTCGTCAATATAGATGTCGAAGATCGTGATACATCTTGGTTGACCCCGGATGAATAGATTATTGGGATTGGTTAATCTCTGCCAATATCTGCCTTCAGAGTCCCCTGACATCAGACACAATATTTCCTTAATGTATTACAAGCGAGGACTCGATAGCATTTCAATCTATGGCACCTCCGCTGCCGGTATCGACCAATCGTACACTTAGGTTAGTCAACCGGTACAAATATTTGGTCATTTTCCAACTTATAATCTTCCACATGTTGTAGACAGCCCATGGAATTCCGACTAAATGCATCAACCACAATGTTTTCCTTATTGGGGTGGTACAAAATACCAACATCATAATCCTTTAACAATTCAAGCCATCTCTATTGCCTCAGGTGTAATTCTTTTTGCTTGAATATGTTCTATAAGCTCTTATGGTAGGTGAATATATCGACATGAACTCCATAAAGATAGTGATGCCATATCATCAAAGAAAATATGACGGTTGCTAGCTCCAAGTCATTAGTGGGGTAATTTTGCTTGTGCTTCCTTAGTGGTCTCAAAGCGTAAGCAACAATTTTCCCATGTTGCATTAGAACACTGCCCAACCCACTCTAGAGGCACCACAATATATAATGTACCCCTCCGGTCCTTCTAAAAGAGTTACAACCGGCGTCGATATTAACCTTTCCCTTAACTCTTGAAAGCTCTTCTACCAGGCATCGGTCCACCGAGATTTTGCTGCCTTATGCGTCAACATTGTTAATTGAGTAGCTATAGACGAGAAATTTTCCACGAACATACGGTAGTAACCGGCTAAGCCCAAGAAATTGCGCATCTCGGTTGGAGTTGTAGGCCTAGGCCGATTCTTAACTACTTCAACCTTTCGACTATCAACTGAGTTCAACCAGAACTCGCACTTGGAATACTTGGTGTATAACTTGTGATCCCAGAGTGTGCGTAGAACCTTTTGCAAATGCTCTGCGTGCTCTACTTCTGATCGAGAATATTCCAAAATATCATCCATGAACACGATAAAAAATATACCAAAAAATGGCCTGAACACTCGATTCATTAGATCCATAAATGCCGCTGGTGCGTTGGTTAGGCCAAAGCCATAACGAGAAATTTCTAGTGGCCATATCTGGTCCGAAAGGCTATCTTCAGAATATCTTCTTCCTTGATCCTTAACTGATGATACCCATATCTGAGGTCATAGATCCTCGTGAGCATATACTTTTTCTTAATGGTTATCTTGTTCAGTTTTCGATAATTGATGCACATACTCAACGAACTATCTTTCTTTCAAACAAATAGTACTGGAGCTCCCACGGGGAAGTACTGGGTCGTATGAGCCCTTATCTAAAAAATCTTTTGATTGAGCTTTTCATTCCTTCAACTCGGCAGGAACCATCTTATACAGTGGAATAGATATTGGTTTGTATAGGGTGGCACATCGATGTCAACTCAATCTCTCTCTCTCTCGAGATACCCGGAAGCTTATAAGGAAACACATCGAGATTTTCACTAAAAACCGGAATCGACTGGAGGGTGGGAGGCCTTGCCTGTTCATCCTACACTCGCACCATGTGATAGATACACCACTTCACAATCATCTTCCGAGCCTTTAGGTAAGAAATAAACTTCCCTCTTGGCACTACGACATCACCCTTCCATTCAATAATGGGTTCTCCTAGAAAATTAAAGCGAACAACCTTTACGCAAGAATCCATGTTGGCATAACACGAAGCCAACCAGTTCATCCCCATAATGACGTCAAATTTAATCATCTATAATTCATTTAAATAAGCTAAGGTATGATGGTCATGAATCATCACATCGCAACCTCAATATATTCGTCTAACTTTCACTGATTCACCTAAATACGTGGACACTTCAAACGGCCGATGTAACAATTCAGGCTTTTTACTGCATTTACTAGCAACAAATGGAGAAATATATGCCTGGGTGGAACCTGGATCTATTTCACGACCCAAAATCCTAACCTGACGTGATGACGCCTAACACACCGGTTAGGCAAGTCGTATGATGATAAAGGAGGCAACATGATAATGAAATTCGTAGAAATAGCATAAACCTGAGGTCTTAATATAATAAAAACTGCTAATACAATATGAATCCCCCCTAGAAACTGGTACATACGGAGTCTTGAGCTACTACAATTGAATACAAGTCTGAAACTGATCAATAGATACATTATCTGAACTATAACAATAGTATTAAAGGAAAGACAAGTCAAACTGCGACCATGGATGTCGCTCTACCTCACCTCTAGCAGATAGTCCGAAAAGCAACCTGCTGCTGACAACTGGTCCCCACACCTGGATCTGCACAATTGATTGCAGAGTGTAGTATGAGCACAATCGACCCAATGTACTCAATAAGTATCTTAAATATACACGGCAAGGTAAAAGGAGCACAAATTATTAATGATACTAGCTATCACGTGTGCAGTTTCATATTTAATTCCGATATAGAACAATATTGAAATCAACTCATCAAGTATTGCGAGAAAACATCTGTGTGTTTATGTGTACAATTTTACAAATACCCTGCTCAGACAATATCTTGGCATATAGAGGTGATATGCAATTAAACCAGATAAATGATCAAGGAAATTGCGATTAAAGATGAAATGCAAAATCCAAAAAAACACTGGCCAGATTTCCTCAACTTTTCCATATCCATTCCAAACCACTAATCAGTATTATCAATAATCGTGTGTATACCATCAAGAGAGAAACATGAGAGGGTGACCCTAAAGGGATGTATCAGTATCCACACGCTGCACGGACAACTTAGGTGCTACATGGACAACTCACGTTCTATGAATAGAACCCCGCACAAAGAACTCATGTCCTGCATGGACAACTCACATGCCAATAACACAATCCCCTCGGTACGATCATAGGCACAACAACACAATCCGCCCATCATGGTCACAGGCCTCCAGTCCAAACATATCACACATGAGCAATTACACAAGTACGCATGTACGAAACGAGCGAATATCAAATCTCATGCTCCTGTACTGGTATAAATAACATGCTAAACTGTAAGCATGAGCAAGTGTACTGCCATAGCTTAAACCGGAAATTTCAGAGAAGAATAACATTTATCAGTTCATTCAGGGATTAAGCCCCTACGTAGCTTCAATCATGGCTCAAATAGTTCACAACAATGTCATAAATGAGTGAAGCATCATAGATTAAGGCTTAATATCTAAGATCCTGAGCACAACCCAACATGAATAAATAATCTCAGTGCCTGCATATGGGTTCTTCCCCACGCATGTGCGCAACCAATAGCACGTAGCTATCATAATAATTCAGGCAACTAGCGCCTCAACCGAGTTTAAATAAGACACAAACCTCTAAAAAATCAAATCACTCCGCTAGCAAGCCCTTCCCACGCGTATCGACCTCCGGAGGGCTCAAATCTAGCCAAAAATAATGTAATACTATCAATAAAAGCTATAGGAATGGACTCCAAATGATAAAGCTAAGATCTTTAACCAAAATAAAAAGTCAACCCAAAAGTCAACCCCGAGGCCACATATCGGAATATAACAAAATATACAAAACCCTAAAACCCGATCAATAACTAGTCCAGCCATACTAAAAATATTCAAATCCGACCTCAAATTACCTTTCAAATCGCTAAAATTCAGTCTATGAAGTTTCATAATTTTTCCCAAATTTTCCAACTCAAATCACTAATTAAATGACAAAAATAATGATGGATTGACGTATTATAGCCAAAACAAAGTTAGAATCACTTACCTCGATGATTTCTCTGAAAATCCCTCGAAATATCGCCACAAACCAAGCTCTCTATGTCAAAACCATAAAAATGAACTCAAACCCTCGAACACATCTTAACTGCCCAGCGATTCTGCTTCTACGACCAGGAGGTCCGCTTCTGCGGAACTTCTCCTGCAGAAAATGGAGTGCACCTGCGCATCCCACTCAAGACTAGCCCCTCCGCTTCTGTGGAAATACACCCGCATTTGTACACATGCGCCTGTGGAGGAAATTTAGCACCTGTGACAATGCCCGCTCATGTGCTTCCCTTCATCGTAGAAGCGACTTCGCTTCTACGGTCCCAGCGTCCCCCATTCACTTCCGCACCTGCGCTCTTAATGCCACACCCGCGGTGTCGCACCTACGGCCACTCCCATCGCAGCTGCGACCACACCAGAAGTTCAGCAATTCTCAGCAATGCTCCAAGTCTACATTTGATCTGTTAACCATCTGAAATCCACCTGAGGCCCCCGAACACCATCCAAACATACCAACAAGTCCTAAAACACGATACGAACTTAATCGAAACCTTAAATCACGCCAAACAACATCAAAAATATGAATCAAACCCCAATTCAAGCCTATTGACACTAACCGACCACTTGAATGGGGCACCCTTTTGGGTCAAGCTTTTCGAAAGCGCTGTAATGGACAAGAAACCCTCCACGAAATGACGGTAATATCCGGCCAAGCGAAGGAAACTCCAAATCCCAGTAGCTGAGGACGATCTGGACCAACTCTGAACCGCCTCAATCTTCTTCGGATCCACCTTGATCTCCTCACAGGACACCACATGCCCCAAGAATACCACCGAACTGAGTCAAAACTCACACTTGGAGAACTTGGTATAAAGCTTCTCCTCCCTCTATCTCTCTATTATAATCCTCAGATGTTATGCATGCTCTTCCTGGCTACGGGAGTACACCAGGATATCATTAATAAATACTATGACAACGAATCAAGACATGGTTGGAATACACTGTTCATCAGATGCATGAATGCTACTGGGGCTATTGGTTAGCCCAAAAGACATCACAAGGAACTCATAGTGACC